ACAGATATTGGGCGTCGTGCTGTCAGAAAATTTATCACCATGAACTGCGCAAAGACAGAGGTAAGTACTCTTATAATGCATACCAATCGTAGTAATTTGAATAACAATTGGCATACGAATTCTGATTTCTTTTAGGTATCAATAATTCCTGTCGAGTGGACCGAGGAAGAGACCTCAAAACTTCAAGATTTATTCAAGTCTGAAATTGAGACTGGTAACATAACTGAAAACATTGTCAGAGATAAACTTGGTGCTTCCAACCTGTTGGAAACACACTCCATGAAGGCAATTGTGTTGAAAGTGAGAAGGCTTCGATCAGAATTTACCAAAAACTTAGAACCACCAACTGAAGTTGAGTCTCCTGAACAGGATGAACAAACAGACCATCTCCTATCGTTAACTCAGGATATGATTGAAAACAACGCAGTAAAAAGAGAGGTCGTTTGGGAACGGGTGATAAATGATGAGAAAGCATGGAAAACCGGGTTGGTCTTCGGAACCGATGATGAGGAGCTTCTTTTGAGGCAAAAACAACGTTTGGCGGACAAGGTACGAAAAGAAGTCAAACGTCAAAAGATGAAGAGAAAGTAGTAGTTTGATCCTGTGGTTCTTGCATTATATTTGAACATTAGTTGACATTGAACATTTCTTGTCTTTATGTATTCAGGGTTACAACATAATTGAGTCCTATATTGTTAACATGTTATTTTCTTTAACCGTTTGCCAGTCATTTTATGGTTGATCGTTTTATTTCAAGTAAGTCAATATTCCCTAAAAAGGCCGATTTACACAATGCAATTTCTTCGTGTGTTAAGGTTCGAACGACAAGTCATAGGGTCGTGTACGACCTGACGAATGACCGTTTATATGGTATGATTCGGGTCACATGCATCAAGTCATATACTACAATCGCATCGTGGAAATCGGCCTTAAGAGTCATATACTACAATCGCATCGTGGAAATCGGCCTTAAGAGTCATAGAATTTGTCTTGGTGACTGATGTGTGTAGGACATCGACTTCTATGAAAAAGATTTAACTTGTCTTGGTCTTGTTGCGAGGTGTTATAAAGTTGAATTTTTCATAAAGCAAAAGTTGTCGTTTAAAAACTTAGCTCCAAGTGATAAAGCTTATATCTGGAATTAAAAGAGTTTACTTTGAGACTCGTTGTCATGAACCTGCAATATATTGTCTTTTTAAGTGCAGTTCCAGTTGAGATTTTGTGGAAGTTTCATGACGTTTTCGAAAAGTTTAGGGTGAAGTCACTAAGCCCGTGAAATACATATTAGACTAACACACTTTATTAACCACTAATTTCGTTGTTTCCTTTAGTGTCTATTGAACTATTACATGTTAACAGTTAAATATTTTTTTATGGGTTTAACTTTACCCTAGTGCAACTTTTGTCGTCATAATAGAGCGATATCGCATAACCCCCTTCCTAAATATTGGTGTTTTATTCTAAATGAGCCAATACAAAGATAACATTAGAATACTTAAGACTTTATCTATTGTTGTCTTTCTACGATGTCCATTAACCTTTAACTAATATCCACTTGCTTTTAAAAATATTTATATCGCTCTGTAAACCTCACAAACCGGTGAAATTGCAGCTAAAATCGCCATTGTCATAGAGCTTTAAGGATGATCAACACGCACGCCCAAACTTGTATGCGAGCTGTCAATAGGATATGTATATGTAATCGCATGGGTCCTCGGGCAATTAAGGATTAATTTCACGCGTATTTCCAAACTTTGAAAACACCAGTGAAATTAATCCTTAATTGCCCGAGGGCACTTGCGATTTCTTGTTTATCACATAAAGGGCAAAATTATCGCGGGAATCCATTCACGCGCGACGTTATTCTTTTAGGAAGCCCGTTCAATGCCGCGACATTGCTCATTTTTTCCTCTTGTCTTTGCCCATTGTTGGAAAATGTTAGTCCAGTAGTCCGTACTTCTTTTTGTGTTTTTGTGCTCACTTGTGTTTAGTAGTTCCTCAATAAACTCTTCAACAAAATGGGAAGCCATTGTTGCAGAAAATTTTAATCGGCAACAAATCTAAGCAATAACTTCATTACAAAGCAACTTTAAACCAATCAAGATCAAGTAATCATGCCCTTTTGATTACCAAAAGTACCCTCGTGATTAAGAAAAAATGCCCTCTGTCTCAGCCAATCAGCACTTAGTAATTTTGCCCTGTATGTGATAAGCTACATAAAATGGGAATTTGCTAGGTGTAGAGTTTTGCTCATAAATCCAATTAACAGCAATAAAATCTATCGAAAAACCAGTGGCCATGTTTGTAAAGTAAAGCGTCATGTCTCTTCTGAAAATTAGCCGTTTGCGCATTTAGTAAGAGTATCTAAATTTTGTGCTAGCAAACTTAAGGTGGAATCCCTGTACATGAAAGGGTATCATTTACTGTTCCCCTCTTTTGTTGGGAATCTACTTCCCTGAAAAAATAAGCTGGAAAAATGTATTTTTACGCGTTAAGAACTGTGCTTAATTTAAGTAGATCTACTGAGTACAAAGACTGTCTCAGGCCTGCTAGTATGGACACCTTAACCCAAGACGTTTTACTGCGTCTTTAATCATGTTTAAGGTATACAAGCGACAGGAAGCTTCGTATATTTCTAATTTTTTTACACCTAGAGTCTGTCATTACAATTTGCGCTCCTCTGCTCTTAATGTTTCCCAGCCTGTAAATACCTCTAGCCATATTCAGAGCTCTTTTCATACACTATCTCTCATTCTTGGAACCAGTTACCATCTTCAATTAAATCAGCAACCACTTTATCGGAATTTAAGTCTGGCCTATCTCGCATAACTACGCTTGGCTGTAAGCCTATAAGTGTATTAGTATACAATTGTAGAGGTAGGGTTATGAATTGGTAATTAGGCTTGGGGTTAGGGCTATAATGTTAGGTGATTAGGGCTGGTAGGGTTTCAGGGGAAGTTCAGCATCGGGAGCTAAGTGATATTTTTGCGTTTTTATCATCTTTGTCGAGCGTTTTTAACATGAGCCATTAGGCTTGGGGGATTGGGTAACCACCCCCTACGTTGCCGACGTGAAAAAAATTGTTGTTGTCCACGTGATCAGTAAAAAATGGTCTAAAAAAGCTTTATTTTGTTAATTCAATTAGTACACTAGGCAGGGAAATCATCTTAACTGTCAATATTGCTCCGCTTCTCTTTTTAACTTGAATGTCGCTCAGTCACGATATTTCTGCTTTAATTCAAATAATAACACTTTTAAAAAATGTTTAAATTATTTTCCATGTTCCCTTTCACAAGGCGTCTTTTAGCTATGCAAACAAATTACCAGAATTCCGCTTTATTCAAGTTTTATAAGTAAAAATGTCCCATCAATTTGGCAAAGTGGGTATTTGCTACTTACAAGTGGGTATTTGCTACATAAAATGGGTATTTGCTACATGCAGAATTTCGCTCGTAAAATTGATAAAAATGAATGGAATAGCTTGTAAACACGTTGTAAATTCTTAAAAAATAATGCGTCATCCATGCATGCGAAAATCATGGCATTAGAATGAACTAAAAGTGAAATAATGCGAAAAACGCATTTTTAGAAATGTTTGGGTTCCAAAGTTTCAAGTCTTGTACACCTACATACCCAGAAGCGCACTTTTTGCTAAAAATGGTCTTCACAGAAAAAATTTTAAAACGACAGAACTCAGAAGGCTTTTACGGCAAAGAAGAACATTTAGAAGACCTTTGATATCCGGAAAAGTTTTTGAATTTTATAAAAAAAATGATTGATGTACCTAGGTTTGGGTATTTGCTACCTTCTGACTTTTCAGTGACGAAATGCGAACAACAATTAAACTTTAATAACGTTGGTTTTGCATAGAAGAGAGCTAAAAAGCAATATTCTTTTGGCTAGAATTGTTAAATACTTTAAAAAAAAACTTTTACTTAATTTAAATAGGCATAGAGAAAACGCGTAGCAAACACTCACTGATGAATCTAAAGAGAGAGAGAGAGAGAGAGAGAGAGAGAGAGAGAGAGAGAGAGAGAGAGAGAGAGAGAGAGAGAGAGAGAGAGAAACATCATCAACAATAAGGCCAGAACTAAAAGGAAATGATGATAAAAGTAAAAAGTAAATAAATAAAAAAATCACCGCTAGAAAAAAAAAAAGAATTCTGATAGGCTTACCATTTGAAAAGGATGCAACGTTTGATTTTTTCTTGTGCAAACCGTAAGCTATTATTGCTACGATGATTGCCAAAACTGCCACACCTCCAATCACGCAGAGTACAATCAAACCAGGCTTCGCTGGAAAAGATCATGAATAAATAGCATGGAGTTATATGGCCAAGCACAGTTTATAATTGTAATTTAAATGAATGGAGTGCAATTTGGTCTGAAATCATACCCGTCATTTGAAATCAAAACTAAGATTGCACAACACGGAGTTCAATTGCAGCTCTATTACATCCGTTTATGAAGCGCAAAATGTAACCAATATTCTACTGATCCGGTACTGAGCTGGTTTGTAAATGATTCAATGTTGCCTTTCATTTTGTTGCGATTTGATTGGTTACTTTAAATGATTGGTTTGTAAATGATTCAATGTTGCCTTTTTTATTTTGTTGCGATTTGATTGGTTACTTTAAACAAGCCATGAAATCTGATTGGTTGTTGCGTTTTAGAAAAGCTTTCTCATTGACTAGGAAAAGATGCGATTTAGAGCAAACGATAGATGCGTAAATAAATCGCACCGACCAGGACCACCAGTGATTTCAAAATGGACGTAATAAACTCCAGTAAATCTTACAAGAAAATTGATAAATTGATTATCAAATTCGATCAAGTTCCGAGTGGATATGAGCATGGGAGCCCTTCCCATTCCTTGTTTCCAGGTCAAATTGGAGTTTGACGTGGGGATTGGAGGAAGGAGAACGAGGAGAAGTATCCTCGCCAGAATGAGAGCGAACGAAACTTTTAACAAAAAAATGAAACTTGGTTCCGGTTTCTCGATAGTCACGTTAACAAAACGGGCTCGAAACTTTGATTAAAATCAAAACTTATGGATTAATAATGAGGCTACTAGCTGAAAAATTTCCCGAAATTTTAGCTGTTCGAATTACACTTTTTATATACCTCGATGTTGAATGTGAACACAGCAAACAAAATAAAACCTGTTTGTCGAATGGGAACTACCAAGACTTTCCGAGAATCAAACCCAGGCCACAGGCAAGCTCTCTCATCACTACACCATCCAGGGTACCTGATCACTAATTTTATCATGATGTCATCGCAGTGAGCGCAAGGTACAGAAAACAGAGTGTGTATCATATCAAACGCTTTCCAAACTATTTTGTGTTTTCCAAAATAGCATTGGCCATGAGTTTACTGAAACAAATTGGAACGCACCCCTGGAATTCGTTGGAAATAATTCGAGCTGAAAGAGGACCGGTAAGGTATTGCTGGCGAATTTTCGAAAAATCAGTTCACGCGTCACGGATATAAAAGGGAAATTTTCTAATTTCTCATCTTGTGTGCAAGGTTTATTGAAATCTTGAGGTTTTCACGTAATGGAAAAAAAAAACAACATCAAAACAAAAACTTCAGGGTTCAAGTATACTTCAGGATATCAAATCTCGCCTTACAGTTTCATAAATTCACGAATAACGTTAACCTTTCAGTAAAATTCACGCGTCGTATTTAATTTTGGTCTTAATCACGAGTCATGTATAAACCCTTAGAGATGCACCAGTTTGTTCATACCTTAAGTTTCCTCTCAGGAGGTGATACTCCAAAGAGTCCAGCAAAGGAATATCTTACAAAGATTCGACACCGATTATTTTCGAGAAATGGTGGAGAACAGCGACAAGAGTTGACCAGATTTTAGAGTCCGTCGTTGTTTTCAGTGTAGAACCCGGCAAAAACCAGATGGCGCCCTCAAAATGGCTTTGTAGAGTGGGTCTACCGCATACTTTCCCTTTCATAATTTTGTGACTTATTGGGCGACATTGCACGGTTTGATTTTTCTTATTTTGGAAGCAGTTGCAGCCAACTGAGAAAGAGGATCACTTTTTCTAATAGCTTATTTTTGCCCTTTTAATTGAGATACACATGTAGCATAATTCCCTATTGTAAACATTGGTGGAGATATTAATTAAAATCTGTGATTCTGTCAATTTAGCATTTTTCCTCTGGATAGTGAAGGGTCTAAGGCTTTCATTAGATAGTTGAGAATTAATTTCCCTTGTGATTTCAATGCAAGTCAATGCAAGATTTAAATGATATATTTGTGCTCTATTCATGACACATACAAATCTTTTAAAATTGTTCAAAGGACTGAAATTGTGTCGCAGAATTTCTGCGACACCCAGTGTATAAGTAGTTGCAGAATTTCTGCCACACCCAGTGTATGAGTAGTAGCAGAATTTCTGCTACACTCACTGCATGAGTGGTTGCAGAATTTCTGCGACAGCCTGTAAATGAGGTCGCTGAATTTCTGCAACACCCAGTGTATGAATGGTTGCAGAATTTCTGCTACATCCAGTGTATGAGTGGTTGCCGAATTTCTGAGACATCCAATGTATGAGTGGACGCAGAATTTCTGCAACATCCAGTGACTGACTGTTTGCAGATTAGACGAATTACCTCATACATATTTTCATAGTTAACCATTAACACAAACTTTGTTACGGAAATACTAAATCTTGCAGAGGAAAACATAAATTTTGAATTCATTTTAATTTTTTATTCGCAAAATTTGACTATTGATTTTTCAAGAGATTAGCAGAATATGCAGAGAAAAACCGTTGATTTATCCAAAAATGTACTATTTTGGAAAACATAAAAAAGTTTGGAAAACGTTATAAGCTTGCAATCATTTGAACTTGTTATACAATCGGTGAATGTCTTTTTGAGTGAAATCACCAACGTGATAAATGAAATACGCGCCCTCTGATTGGTCAATCAGTACGCTATATCATTAAAATAATAGTTGACAATTTACATGCCAATCTTGTCTTTCGTGATTCCGCTCCGAGATCATGACCATCTCCCCTTTCACTAAAATCTACTAAACACTATCACTAACATAATATTTTCACACAATAGGTTGATTTTGGAAAAAAAAAATTAATCCCTACCTTTTTTACAATCTTCTCCCTCAAAGAAGGTTCCACAGTCCTCGGGTGGTACTGAAGTTGTAGTTGGCTCTGAAACATACATACAAACATACAAAAAAAAAAGCCTCATTTCAATCAGTTTTAAATGCTTAGCCACCCAGGCACATTTTCACTCATCATTACGGGTCTTTAAGGGAAAAGAAATCCCGGATCTATGCGGTTAAGCCGGCGAGAGGAAATGATAAACTCTGAGTTAGTTCAAAACACCTCAAAAAGTTAGCTTTCAAAGTACAAAGTCATCAACTGTGTCTCCAAAAATCTGGCTTTGTCAGATAATGGAGAATAACTAAGCAAAGTGCCGTGATCTCCAAAACAGCAGCGATTGACGAAGACAAAAGAACTAACCTGAGAAAGTTTTTCCAACGCTAATGTCTTCAACTTCCATATCGCCAATTTTTCCCCTATTCGCTGCCTGTGTCAGCAATGCATTTACACTACTTTCTCCGACAGAATCGTTAAATGTTAGTTTCAAGTCAGCAATGATACTTCCTTGCCTGAGAGGTAAGCAAGAAGTCAAACGCTTTTAGATAAAAAGGCAAATAAATAGTAATGTGTTTAGGCGCTGCAATTTAAACCTGGACTTCCTCAATAAACATTCTAGCTCTCCTCCTTCCAATCTTGTCTTCCATCCTTTCAATACTCAAATTTTGATATTTCATTTTAATCGTAAAACGTGTTCACAAGCAGTTGAGTGCTCTTCCTAGTTCTAGGTCAAAATGTTCAGCTGAGTGATTTAAGATTCTAGACTCAGCCAAAACAACTCATTGCATAAAATTAAGGAGGCATTGCACATGAGCCGCTTGAAACCTGAGCTGAATACTCAGATGCAAAATAACTTCTCTTCACTTCCAAAAAAATAGAAAAAAATAAGTTAACGTTCCAAGTGTTACATTTGCGCGCACGAGTGTTTACTTAAACTATTGTAACGGTACCAATTGAACTACCGATTAAAACGGATGGCATACTGTTTATGTAACGTCTAAAATATAAGTCAAATGATACAACACAATAAACTGATGATGGCATGAGTCATGTCATCATCTTGTCTTTAAAAAAATTCCTCGTGAATTTTAAATTTATTTTAATCTTAAAACAACAAAAATCACCAGGAGGATCTGGCTCACAAACTGTAGATTATTATCAAAATATTATCAAAAGGTTTGTTCTCCAGAACAGCTCATTATCTTGGGCGTCTTAAGTACACATATGACTCACTGTAATTCTTAACAAACCCTGTTCTATACATTGAGTTGCGACATATTACTCGCAAATTAAAGTGCAGCTTTAAGAAGGACGTTCTAAGTGATTTATAAATAATCCAGCATCACACGTACTCCCCTGTACGACATGTGAGTTAAGAAAGAGATTATAGTTCGGTCAGTTTATAATCTTATGACGCAAAAATAATGATTGGTTTGCGCCCTTAGCGCTTCTTGTGCATCAGTACCGCAAAGACTACACGATGAACAAAATTAACCTGGAAGTTTCTGATTTAACGTACACAAGTTTGAAAACGTATTACCTCAGCTTGAGCACCGTAACGCTAGCGAGACCAGTGCCTTTGAATTCTTCCATCACCTGGAAAAAAAAATTCCATTTCTATGTTCTCTACTTTCTATGTACTGACAAGGAGAAATTTATGCTCCAATCTGATGTTTTAAAACGACATTAGGAGCGAAGCCCTTAATACGAAATATATTTTTATCCCAATACAAGAAAAATTAATTTATAAATGAAAAGCACCACACTTCGCCTAATTCTGAGTGAGAAGGTGTCCGTGTAGAAATCGGATGGGGCCTTGCAGTCGCCTGGTGCATACGTACACCTTACTAATCTATTTTAAATCATGATATGCAATGGGCTGTGTTCTAAAATAATTCTTTCTTTCCTTAAAATATTACAATACTAACTTCAAGTTAATCATAATTATTTTTACCAAAGCACTCACATTTTCTTCAATATTTTTGACAAGCCTTTTTGTCTCTGGATTTTCCAAGTTCTCATACTCTTGTTTGAACTCTCCCTTGAGTTTAAGTCCGACATCAAAGTCTTTCTTAAGTGTATCTGTTGGGAGCAAGAGAAGCATGAACATGACAAGAAGCGAAACGAAAAATAACGCCTCAAAAGGGGATAAATTGATAAAAAATAAACTATTTAAGTTTAAGGAGCAGTTTAGAGTTGTAATTTGATTTTAAAATTTTGACAGAGTTTTGGAAGAACCTTTTAATTTATCCAGAATGTCTTCATTATAGATAAAATATTTTTTAGTTATTACAGCTGTGATCAGATCGAAAATATGTTGGAAAAATATAAAATAACAACAATAGAAAAATGAACTGAGGCTCTGAATATTCGCAAGAAGGAAAACTTTTCGTAGAGACAGCTTACGTTCTCTTTTGGTTTTTAGTACAAAGGGCAATTCAGTTCCTTGTGCCTGTCTGAAGTTCTTATCAGTTTGATCAAGAACAGCCTCGGATCTTTTCAAATTTAACAATAAAGGCAGACACATTAAAACATTGCTAGCGGCATTGCTTTTGCATTTCACATTTGTGACACAGCGCCAAACCAAACACTCCGGATATTAATGTGGTCGACGTGAAGACGCCAGAGAACTAAATTATTTATTTCTGACCACAATGATTCTAAGAATTAATTATTAAGTTTACACCTCCAATTACGCAGGAAACCTCAAACAATAATATTTAGCTGTTATCAACACATTGTTGTCGATCTTGGTTCCGGTTTCTCGATAGTCACGTTAACAAATGGGCTCGAAACTTTGATTAAAATCAAAACTTATGGATTAATAATGAGGCTACTAGCTGAAAAATTTCCCGAAATTTTAGCTGTTCGAATTACACTTTTTATATACCTCGATGTTGAATGTGAACACAGCAAACACAATAAAACCCGTTTGTCGAATGGGAACTACCAAGACTTTCCGAGAATCAAACCCAGGCCACAGGCAGGCTCTCTCATCACTACACCATCCAGGGTACCTGATCACTAATTTTATCATGATGTCATCGCAGTGAGCGCAAGGTACAGAAAACAGAGTGTGTATCATATCAAACGCTTTCCAAACTATTTTGTGTTTTCCAAAATAGCATTGGCCATGAGTTTACTGAAACAAATTGGAACGCAATTCGGAATTCGTTGGAAATAATTCGAGCTGAAAGAGGACCGGTAAGGTATTGCTGGCGAATTTTCGAAAAATCAGTTCACGCGTCACGGATATAAAAGGGAAATTTTCTAATTTCTCATCTTGTGTGCAAGGTTTAATGAAATCTTGAGGTTTTCACGTAATGGGAAAAAAAAACAACAACATCAAAACAAAAACTTCAGGGTTCAAGTATACTTCAGGATATCAAATCTCGCCTTACACAGTTTCATAAATTTACGAATAACGTTAACCTTTCAGTAAAATTCACGCGTCGTATTTAATTTTGGTCTTAATCGCGAGTCATGTATAAACCCTTAGAGATGCACCAGTTTGTTCATACCTTAAGTTCCTCTCAGGAGGTGATACTCCAAAGGGTCCAGCAAAGGAATATCTTTCAAAGATTCGACACCGATTATTTTCGAGAAATGGTGGAGAACAGCGACAAGAGTTGACCAGATTTTAGAGTCCGTTGTTGTTTTCAGTGTAGAACCCGGCAAAAACCAGATGGCGCCCTCAATATGGCTTTGTAGAGTGGGTCTACCGCATACTTTCCCTTTCATAATTTTGTGACTTATTGGGCAACATTGCACGGTTTGATTTTTCTTATTTTGGAAGCAGTTGCAGCCAACTGAGAACGAGGATCACTTTTTCTAAAAGCTTATTTTTGCCCTTTTAATTGAGATACACATGTAGCATAATTCCCTCTTGTAAACATTGGTGGAGATATTAATTAAAATCTGTGATTCTGTCAATTTAGCATTTTTCCTCTGGATAGTGAAGGGTCTAAGGCTTTCATTAGATAGTTGAGAATTAATTTCCCTTATGATTTCAATGCTAGTCAATGCAAGATTTAAATGATATATTTGTGCTCTATTCATGACACATACAAATCTTTTAAAATTGTTCAAAGGACTGAAATTGTGTCGCAGAATTTCTGCGACACCCAGTGTATGAGTAGTTGCAGAATTTCTGTCACACCCAGTGTATGAGTAGTAGCAGAATTTCTGCTTCACTCACTGCATGAGTGGTCGCAGAATTTCTGCGACAGCCTGTAAATGAGGTCGCTGAATTTCTGCAACACCCAGTGTATGAATGGTTGCAGAATTTCTGCTACATCCAGTGTATGAGTGGTTGCCGAATTTCTGAGACATCCAATGTATGAGTGGACGCAGAATTTCTGCAACATCCAGTGACTGACTGTTTGCAGATTAGACGAATTACCTCATACATATTTTCATAGTTGACCATTAATACAAACTTTGTTACGGAAATACTAAATCTTGCAGAGGAAAACATAAATTTTGAATTCATTTTAATTTTTTATTCGCAAAATTTGACTAATGATTTATCAAGAGATTAGCAAAATATGCAGAGAAAAACCGTTGATTTATCCAAAAATGTACTATTTTGGAAAACATAAAAAAGTTTGGAAAACGTTATAAGCTTGCAATCACTTGAACTTGTTATACAATCGGTGAATGTTTTTTTGAGTGAAATCACCAACGTGATAAATGAAATACGCGCCCTCTGATTGGTCAATCAGTACGCTATATCATTAAAATAATAGTTGACAATTTACATGCCAATCTTGTCTTTCGCGATTCCGCTCCGAGATCATGACCATCTCCCCTTTCACTAAAATCTACTAAACACTATCACTAACATAATATTTTCACACAATAGGTTGATTTTGGAAAAAAAAAATTAATCCCTACCTTTTTTACAATCTTCTCCCTCAAAGAAGGTTCCACAGTCCTCGGGCGGTACTGAAGTTGTAGTTGGCTCTGAAACATACATACAAACATACAACAAAAAAAAAGCCTCATTTCAATCAGTTTTAAATGCTTAGCCACCCAGGCACATTTTCACTCATCATTACGGGTCTTTAAGGGAAAAGAAATCCCGGACCTATGCGGTTAAGCCGGCGAGAGGAAATGATAAACTCTGAGTTAGTTCAAAACACCTCAAAAAGTTAGCTTTCAAAGTACAAAGTCATCAACTGTGTCTCCAAAAATCTGGCTTTGTCAGATAATGGAGAATAACTAAGCAAAGTGCCGTGATCTCCAAAACAGCAGCGATTGACGAAGACAAAAGAACTAACCTGAGAAAGTTTTTCCAACGCTAATCTCTTCAACTTCCATATCGCCAATTTTTCCCCTATTCGCTGCCTGTGTCAGCAATGCATTTACACTACTTTCTCCGACAGAATCGTTAAATGTTAGTTTCAAGTCAGCAATGATACTTCCTTGCCTGAGAGGTAAGCAAGAAGTCAAACGCTTTTAGATAAAAAGGCAAATAAATAGTAATGTGTTTAGGCGCTGCAATTTAAACCTGGACTTCCTCAATAAACATTCTAGCTCTCCTCCTTCCAATCTTGCCTTCCATCCTTTCAATACTCAAATTTTGATATTTCATTTTAATCGTAAAACGTGTTCACAAGCAGTTGAGTGCTCTTCCTAGTTCTAGGTCAAAATGTTCAGCTGAGTGATTTAAGATTCTAGACTCAGCTAAAACAACTCATTGCATAAAATTAAGGAGGCATTGCACATGAGCCGCTTGAAACCTGAGCTGAATACTCAGATGCAAAATAACTAAAAAAAATAGAAAAAAATAAGTTAACGTTCCAAGTGTTACATTTGCGCGCACGAGTGTCAACTTAAACTATTGTAACGGTAACAATTGAACTACCGATTAAAACGGATGGCATACTGTTTATGTAACGTCTAAAATATAAGTCAAATGATACAACACAATAAACTGATGATGGCATGAGTCATGTCATCATCTTGTCTTTAAAAAAATTCCTCGTGAATTTTAAATTTATTTTAATCTTAAAACAACAAAAATCACCAGGAGGATCTGGCTCACAAACTGTAGATTATTATCAAAATATTATCAAAAGGTTTGTTCTCCAGAACAGCTCATTATCTTGGGCGTCTTAAGTACACATATGACTCACTGTAATTCTTAACAAACCCTGTTCTATACATTGAGTTGCGACATATTACTCGCAAATTAAAGTGCAGCTTTAAGAAGGACGTTCTAAGTGATTTATAAATAATCCAGCATCACACGTACTCCCCTGTACGACATGTGAGTTAAGAAAGAGATTATAGTTCGGTCAGTTTATAATCTTATGACGCAAAAATAATGATTGGTTTGCGCCCTTAGCGCTTCTTGTGCATCAGTACCGCAAAGACTACACGATGAACAAAATTAACCTGGAAGTTTCTGATTTAACGTACACAAGTTTGAAAACGTATTACCTCAGCTTGAGCACCGTAACGCTAGCGAGACCAGTGCCTTTGAATTCTTCCATCACCTGGAAAAAAAAATTCCATTTCTATGTTCTCTACTTTCTATGTACTGACAAGGAGAAATTTATGCTCCAATCTGATGTTTTAAAACGACATTAGGAGCGAAGCCCTTAATACGAAATATATTTTTATCCCAATACAAGAAAAATTAATTTATAAATGAAAAGCACCACACTTCGCCTAATTCTGAGTGAGAAGGTGTCCGTGTAGAAATCGGATGGGGCCTTGCAGTCGCCTGGTGCATACGTACACCTTACTAATCTATTTTAAATCATGATATGCAATGGGCTGTGTTCCAAAATAATTCTTTCTTTCCTTAAAATATTACAATACTAACTTCAAGTTAATCATAATTATTTTTACCAAAGCACTCACATTTTCTTCAATATTTTTGACAAGCCTTTTTGTCTCTGGATTTTCCAAGTTCTCATACTCTTGTTTGAACTCTCCCTTGAGTTTAAGTCCGACATCAAAGTCTTTCTTAAGTGTATCTGTTGGGAGCAAGAGAAGCATGAACATGACAAGAAGCGAAACGAAAAATAACGCCTCAAAAGGGGATAAATTGATAAAAAATAAACTATTTAAGTTTAAGGAGCAGTTTAGAGTTGTAATTTGATTTTAAAATTTTGACAGAGTTTTGGAAGAACCTTTTAATTTATCCAGAATGTCTTCATTATAGATAAAATATTTTTTAGTTATTACAGCTGTGATCACATCGAAAATATGTTGGAAAAATATAAAATAACAACAATAGAAAAATGAACTGAGGCTCTGAATATTCGCAAGAAGGAAAACTTTTCGTAGAGACAGCTTACGTTCTCTTTTGGTTTTTAGTACAAAGGGCAATTCAGTTCCTTGTGCCTGTCTGAAGTTCTTATCAGTTTGATCAAGAACAGCCTCGGATCTTTTCAAATTTAACAATAAAGGCAGACACATTAAAACATTGCTAGCGGCATTGCTTTTGCATTTCACATTTGTGACACAGCGCCAAACCAAACACTCCGGATATTAATGTGGTCGACGTGAAGACGCCAGAGAACTAAATTATTTATTTCTGACCACAATGATTCTAAGAATTAATTATTAAGTTTACACCTCCAATTACGCAGGAAACCTCAAACAATAATATTTAGCTGTTATCAACACATTGTTGTCGATCTCTTAAAAGCCAATGAACCATTTCCGCCTGTAAGCCTCCCTTAGGCGAGTGCTAAATGAAAGCACGTTACGTAGTCAATTCTCTTCTGCGTAACATCAAAAAAGTTAAAAATAGTAAAAGAAAACTAAAACTCACGTTAGGCTCATTTAGCATTTGCAGTGCTGAGCACGGAAAAGCTGCAGTTGACAACAAAGCTTACCTCTATTTTTGGTAACAATTTAACACTAACTCTAAGCAGAACCTCAGTATAAACAAACATTAACAAATGTGAAAGCGTTAGCAAACATTGGAGTTCATCTTTCAAAATCGCGAGCGATGCTATGGATTTAGAGTACATATCATCTTACGCACAATAACAATTCGCCCAATAGAAGAAAGGGAAATTGACAGATCACAGAAACCATAATCGTGTTCAAGCTAAAAGCATGACAACAATCACGCGTAACATAACATCAGTCACGCAAGACTCAACAACCCAATGTGTATATTCGTTTTTCCTTTTCGAGCTTCAATCTTTCCAGACAGCGGATTGTGTCATATTTTGGTCGTAAAATTTAAACATAATAACAGTTCTACGCCTATCTTCGCCTTATTTATGTCTACATCCACAGATGGCATCCTAATTTGCACAAAGGAACCTGGAATGTTTCGGCGAAATTGTCGTCATTTCGAATCATTGATCAAGTTGATCACTAAGAGTAATAAATCAATCTACGGCTCCTAGCCCCTTTGCTTAAGTTTTCTCGGTTTCCTTATTCCGTTAAATAAAACAGATTATCTCCTTGTGAGTCAGTGTTATATTTTGACTAAACAAAAACATGACTTTCACGGGTGAAATCCGATAACATAAATACAAAGCCAGCCAGCCTTTATGACTCAACGATCATACAATTAAAGGAAAAAGCGTCTTAAATGTGAGCTAGTTTTCTTCTGCTTTGAAGAATGTAATTGTTATCAAAATATATTGGACCTTGCATTAAGACATCCTCAGTGCTTCGACAGAATCTATCTCCCCATGATAAGTCGAAAACTATGAATCGCAAATGCATGTGATCTACGAATATTTACGATCTTATGTATGAATCAAGTACACAAGATGAGAATTATATGCTTTACACCGTCTCAACAGCCATACGCTCGCGACCCTGTTTGGAGCATGATCCCCGCTGATATCAAAGCTACATCACAAAAACTTACAGATACGAAAACCATGTAAGTGATAAACAAAGCATTGAAAGCCTTAAGCTTACCGACAAACTGTCGATGAAGAATCAGCCAGAGAAATATTCCACCAAACCTTGTTAATCCAATTTTGTTAAGAGCCGAAGTTATGTTAACCGAGGCCATGTTCTACAACAAACGCATACAAGACGACAGATCGGAAAGCGTACTCCGACATCCGTCAGAAGGAGGTCATCACGGGTAGATTTCCGATTACGAAATCCGAGCTCGCCCGATGTTGTCTTCGTGATGAAGGCCCTATTTAGCATATTAGACCTGCAAAACAGAGTAGAAACGAACACGTGCTTCGTTTTCGCTCATGACTTCGTATTAGCGTCAAGATATTTGCATTTTTTTCCGTTGCTTACCTATATTACAGACTCCAAAAAATTGTTGCGATGCCTCCTTTTCACGGATGGCCGATTACAACTACAACATAGTGACACCTCCACGAAATCTGTCAAAAGGAGGATGTTAAAACACCAGAGGTCATCTCGGGTAGATTTCTGATGAAGAAATCCGAGCTCGCCCGATGTTGTAATGAAGGCCCTATTTCGCATTTTAGAGCCGTAAAATAGAGTAGAAAGGAACAATTACTTCGTTTTCGCTCATGACTTTGTATTAGCGTTAAGATATTTGCATTTTTTTCCGTTGCTAACCTATATGACAGATTCCACAAAATACATTTGACGCCTCCTTTTCACGGATGGCCGATCACAACTACAACGTAATGACATCTTCACGAAATCTGTCAAAAGGAGGATTTTAAAACACCGGAAACCTCTGGATTTCTGCTGAAATAAATTTAACGCAGTTACGTTCAGAGTTTAAGCGATATAATGTTATTTCTAATATGGTAATTGATAAAAAAATTGTACATTACCTCGATTGGACGGAGATTAAGTTTGAATATAATGTAGCAGGCGATATTACTTTTGTCGACAAGGATAATCCGTGACTTGTCTCACCTATTACATTTTCTCTATCTGAGTTGTGCCATGATCATCATTGAAAATATTCTACGATAATATCTTTTACAATATTTAGATGAGGATTTTCAATTCTAAACGCAAGAGCGTACTTAGGGAAAGATCTACGAGAGACAGTTTCTCATGAATACATTTTAAAAATTCTTTTAGCTGACTTCTACATAGATAAAAATTACTACATAGATATATTTCACTTCGACGATTATCTTGATAAACAATTAACGGGAAGTTCTGAGAATCAGTTTTTTTTCAGTTTTGACAGATTTCGTGGAGGTGTTACTACATCCGTGAAAAGCAAATATCTTACGGCTATTACGAAGTCATGAGCGAAAACGAAGCACGTTTTCGTTTCTACTCTGTTTTGCGGGTCTAATATGCTAAATAGGGCCTTCATCACGAAGACAACATCGGGCGAGCTCGGATTTCGTAATCGGAAATCTACCCAAGATGACCTCCTTCTGACGGATGTCGGAGTACGCTTTCCCGACAGATCACTTTCAATGGCGTGCAACGTATCACATTTTACTTTCACAACAGCTTAGCTGCCAGGCAACCGTCAGCGTCAAGCGAGTAGGCGCGCGTGGCCTGTCAAAGGTGCTGGGTCGGTGGCTTGTGAGCGATGCTTGGTGGTTTCCATGTGAAAGGGCTAAATCTCCGCTACTTTTCGTCCGCACACGTTTTCCTTTATCTTAACAAAATAAAAGCCTGGCAAAAGTTAAAAAGTGTGTCCAAATCATAGGAAACCAAAATAAACCGCTATGAAAAGATGCGTTCCACCTAATTGATACCTACTTGTAAAGTTCAGGAAAATCCTGTAGGTCCAAGAGTTTCTTAGCGTGGAGAGCTAGCACTGGAAAATCGTTTGTTCATCTTCAGTCACTTTTTAAACTATCAGGGTGGCCTCATCACTTCTATTGATATTAAATAGCGTCTTTTAATTATTTCTATCATGTATCACAATGTTATCGCCAGGATGGCATATAACTCCTATATCATTCCAGCCGGTGCCATCATTGATGGAAAAGGTAGTTGTATTTAGACAACTTTTAGTTGTCGTTCTGAACCATCCAACAAAGTGTAATTGGCTTTTTCTCCTCCTAGTTACGCTTTACACATACGTTTCCATATCCCGTTAAAACAGATTATCTTGATAGAAAAAAAGTGTTGAGACACGTTAGGTAATTTAACCGAAAGAAGAAGGCATGTAGTTCTGACGAGGACTGACATGAAGTAATGAACTAGGTTTTTGTTTTATCTATTTAAAGTTATCGATATGGACAAAGGATCTAGGCCAAGGGAAAGAAATCTCAACCTCCTTTACGACAACCGCGCCTCAAAGATTTTCACACAAAGGACGCTACAGCATAAACACAGATACATTATTATGTAAAGTCGTAAACAATGTATCAAGAGACTTGTACCTACTGGAAGACTGGTGGTGAAGAATCAGCAAAAGGCATTGAATCAAGGCCTTAGATCTAGAGCAATGGACAGGGATAAAGAAAGCCCCTTTTGTATCAACAATATTTAACAGTAATTGCAAGAATGTTAACAAGATTCCAGAGGGGGGAGGCTAATTTTTTTTTAGTGCAAATTACATGTTATAACTCTTTGCCCTCTCCTCCTTTTCCACTTTGCGGCCTCACCGCGATTACCATTCGCACTGTTTTAAAAAGCTCCAAACATGGTTGAAAATACTATTGTTGAAATTGTTTGATCTGTCAAATCCATTTACCCTAAACATCCTGACGTCAACCTGCATACCTGTATATGTTCTATAATGTTCCCTACACATTCCCTATGTGACTAACAAAAAGATTTTTTTTTTTTAAAACAATCGTAACTTTTTAAATGGCTCTCATTCTGTTTCCTCTCGAGACCCTGATCGTATGTATGTAAGTTTACTTAACTGACCTCTTTTAAGGGCCAATATGGACAAATTGGAAGCAAACGAACCGTGCTGATTTAAAAAAACCCCAATGGGAAGGAGGCAGGCCAGTTGGCTGTACATGTGTACAAAGTGCAGCCAAGGAGTTGAACTTGGGGCAACCGAGAACAAATCCAGTGAGTGGCAGGATGGAGGGCCAGGAGTCTAGAGCCCGAAACCACCAGACACAAGACCAGCGCCCTAACTACACAGCCTCCTTGGGATTCAACGGCGATATCGTGAGTGGAAATTGGATACTAGCCACTCGGGAATTAAATAGTTAACACGGCCCTTTCTCCACAGTTCAAAAAATTCCTTACTTTTGGTAACTGCGCGTACTATTTTTGAAATGAAGGGTGGAAAAAAACAATCTCAAGATGCGGAGCCTGTGAAATCTGAAACAGGCAACAAAAAGATTGATGAAAGACTCAATTTTATCAAAATGTCACCTCCTTAAAAGTTGAACATATTTTCAAAACCCCTCACTCGTTACCGTTTATACTCGAACATCAGTATGCATAGTCTCTATGCTGTGCTCTATACATTACCTATGGTGCTGAAAAGGAGAATTTTTTAACAACCAATCACTTCCTTTTCCTTTCCTCTCGTGTTCTATTGTGTGGTTAAAGGTGATATTTCAAAGAGAAATTACATGGTTGTCACTCTTAGGGTCCAAGGGTTAACTCACGCTCTGCGAAGAACACAGGCATGCAGAATAATAACCAAAAAAAACGAAGTCAATGGCCAGTGCTGAGCTTAACAACAATTACAGACCCACAGGTCACATTTAAAAGGTACAGCATCTATGCCAAAACCCTCAACAAATAAACATAAAAAGATGCATTTAAACTGCTTTAATTAATTGACGAATCTCAAGTTTAATGATACAAAATCAGCTAAATATACTTACTTCGATGTTTAACGAATTAACAATAGTTCTGATATATTTTTTGATAACACACCACGCTGTAAAGATGTTTAATCGTCGACCAGTAAGTTTCTTAATAATTTCCTCTTAGGATTAAAAATCATTCACCGAGAAAACTGCTAAAAATGGATAATATAATTATATGATCATAATTATGATTATGTTTTAACTAACACAAATGTTATCGTGCCGATGCACAAATACTATACAGCTAAAAAAGGGTTACGACTTTGAACATTTTAGTATAAATCTATTGCTGTTTCATCGCAAATGTTGCAATCTGATCGGTTACAATACTCGCTATCTGTTCAATGATATACAGATAGTGAGTACAGTTCGAAGCCTTTTGGTACGCGAATGCAAACAAATTACAATGAAAACATAAGCTTAACTTGTTATTAAGGTTTGAACCACTGGTACATTGATACCAAAACAATATCGTTTACTATGCACGATAATGGATTTGGACCTCTCCTTCATCAACTATCACGCTATAGAAATGGAGAGCTTTCATAATCTAACTGTTACGTACATGAAAAAAAATTATGTCGTGTTCCCTTCTAAATTATGATTACCACCTAGCGACTAGTTGAATAAATAATACCTACGACACTCATTAAATGAATGCTATAAATATCCTATTAAAATGCAATAAGCTATTTCTGTATTGCTATCGTTAAAACTAGACCTTATCTTGTTGTGGCATTATTCCTTTGACATTATACCATCAGTTCAAGCTACTTTTATCTCAAAATTTTTACGACCACAATTTTAGTGGCCTGGACTGCCAATGAAAATTAACCAGGTAAGATTTTATTCGACCCACAAGATTTAAAACACTTATATCATCGCTAGATAAAACATCAAGTTTAAGACATAAAAAAAAACAACGATTTGCGAGAACTAAAGTTATGAATGAAGTGGAATGCAACATACAGGAGCTTGCTCGTTAAAACTCAAACTTCACCACACACTGTACAGTTGAGTGGTTACTCTACAAACACTAATCTTGAATTATTTTCGTGTGCTAAAATTTGGCAAAAAGATGTAATTTGATGTTTACTTGGAAAAAAAGAACACAAGGAGCGAAACGAAACTACGACAGAAGCCTTTAGATTCTAAACCTAGAAAAATACTTACTCACAGGCTACGAAAATATCTCAGTATGCTCAAGAAAGGTTTCTCAGACGATGCCTCGTATATGGATACTACCTCGGTAGATTTAGTTGCGGTTTATAGTCAAATTGTTCAGTTTGTCCATCTAGGACCCGACTCTATCTCGCTACTTCGACAAACACGTCCTTTTTTTCTTTTCCTTTTATTTCTAATCATTAGTTTTAAGTTATTCCTACTCAAGGCAAGTACTTCTCACTTTTAACAAACAATGTGCCTTCTTATCCAACATTTATCTATATCATTGCTTCGAAATAACGTTACTGATGACTTAACTTAAGTTACAAAATGCATTTCATTTCTGCAAAAAGTAAAAATTATGCAAACGTGCTAAACCACTTAAGAACATTTTTAAATTCTAAAAATTGTTTCTAAGGTGTACGAATATTACTCTAAAGATCGGTTTATTAAGAGTTAACTGCTTATCCGCCAAGCCAGAACTGGCTTCGTCTTTCTTGCTCACTGCAAGGAAAATACAATGTGTAAGAAGAAATAACAACGCCCAACAACAGTTGCTTACGAAAGAAAAAATATTTCTTCAATTTTGAAAAGATGAGCCACTCAAAACCTCATAAAAGACAAGAATTACAATAGCTGCACTCTAAAGAATAAAGACTATTTGACAATTGTTCGTGGTTTACTCCTCATTGTTATGTAATCTGTTTCTCATTGCAACATGGTAGAACAAAATAGAACAAACAAGGCCACCCTGAGTTATTGCTGCTATCGGTTGCCAAGTGTTGTCTGTTCTTTCAAGAAGAACGCTGAGCGAATGGGTCATTATAGCTAAGGTACATCAGGACTACAGTACGTTAATTATCTGATTCACAACACTCTTGCAACTTAGTAATTAATGCCAAAAAAAACAACAACAACAACACACAAACAAACAAGCAAACAAAAAACAAAACAAAACAAAAAATATCACAAGTTAATTATCGAATAAAGTGGTTTGTTGTACCAGTAAGGGTATAAATTCAGCCACAACCTCAAGTAAATAATGACAATTCATCAGTAAGACCGACAAACGCCGGCTCAAAAGTAAACAAACAATCACACATGAATAAACAAGTGAAGGAGATGGACGTCAACATAAACCAAAATGTACGAAACGTTAGGTGTGTTGTAATTCAAAATGAACTAAGTCTGAATTTCAATTACTCTTTCTCTTGAGCTAAGGTGATGAATTTGAAACGAGATACAAAAGGCAACTAAAGGTAAAGTTATAATTTGAGCTATGAAGACATTCTGCTTTCGTCATTTGCTTACACTGCTAAATTCGAGCCCATTGAGGAAGGCAAGCGGCTGCTGAAAAGCAAAAAATGACAGAAATTCGACAAGGTTTGCGATTTTTGCAGGCGCTACGACAGCAATGCCGACAGTTTAACTATGGTTTATTATAGCAGATGCACAAGTGCTCTTCATGTTGGAATAGCTAACACATCCCTCAGGAGAACGGTTACGTCGATACTGAGCTCTGAAATACTTGAGAGAGAAGCAAATTCCAACATCTTACCACTGTCATCTTCCATTAAATGTCCACGAGAAATTCTACCGGTCCGCTACTGTTTCTGTCACCAGCATCGCCCATATCAGGTGATGGATCTTCGCCCTTGTCAGGGGATGAATCTTTGTCGGGGGACGAGTTTCCGTCATTATTTGATTCGTCTTCCTTCTCTTCATCTGTCTTGACTGGTCCGCGAAGGAATTGACTTATTTCTGCATATTCTGTTGTCTCGTATTCAGGAGGCATTTTAACCGGTGTGGTTGGAGGGGCGGGTGCCTTCTGATAAAATTCCCCAAGATCAGCGTACATCCCTTCACCAGGTTGCGCTTTCTGTAGATAAAACAGAGTTGGACTAATATGACCCCTGACGGCCATCTTTGGCTAAAAGGTTTTCGCAACACAGCTATAGCGATCAGTGATTCTAAAGTTTTCTGGGTCTAGCAGGTCTTCCTCTTACCCTGGGACTAAATAGAGGAGTAACCAAACGGTTAAAAAAAAAAAAAAAAAAAAAGGTCAAGGGTGCGATTCTTCTCTATCTTGAGCTCGAGCTACATGAATATATCTTCCTTCTTCATCTTCCAACTTTTCTGTAGTCTACTCCTTTCCTAATTATAAACTGTGACCACTTGCACTATTTAACGACAATTCTCACTTCCCTGTAGAATTTGGAAGGGTAAAAATAAACAGAGCCTTTGGCAATGAGTGATCCTTTGATATAATTGAGTGCCAATCCAAAATTGTGATCAACCTGCTCTGAAATAACCCCAAAACGCCAAAAGCAAGCGGGCTTTAACTTTAATGCTCTTTATTTCGATCCTACGACACCAACCTAAAAACTCAAAAGGTCACCAGTAAATGTAATATGTTTTTGACGGAAATCAAGTAAGAACACAAATGAAAATGAACAATGTATGAAAACGCATGGTTTTATTAGATTCTTTGGCGGATAGTTATGTTGCACTTCAAGACTTCACAATTAGCTGATGACTCTCGACTGCAATTAGTATTTATCAATATATTGAGGCAGCAAACTGAAAGAAACAACAGTTTATTTCACGTAGGCCCTGAATAAAATCTGAATCCGACAATAGTACTTAAAATGTAATATTCAGCATTTTTTAGTAAATAGGCAGTGCACTTTTCTGAATTTAGATTTTTGACCTTTAGTACTAAAAAAATTTATTTTCATAACTTGAATCGAATTTTTAAAAACTATTGCTAATCTAATAGTTCAAAACTTAAGTTAGAGCTGTTACATGTTATCTTCATTCTTGTTCAACAATTTTCTTTAAGTAGTGACGGAAGTTATATCATGAGTGGATAACAAATCTTGAATCTTGTCGAGTGGCATTGTGAGCACAAGATGAATTGCTCCCTATGTGCTGGCTCTGAATCTCGTCTTCTTTCTGTGTTGTGAATTACGAAAAGAACAGGTCCTCCAGCTTTTGGAATAGAAAGAACTGAGCTCCAATCTGGCATTTTATCTTCAGAAATGTGTGCTTAGGGGCTTTGAGTCACACATTTTGGACTGCTTCGGTGATTGTCATCCTCTTAATTCCAATAAGCCATTATTGTGCCTTGGTATCCAGCTGATTATTGCTTGGATGCGAAGACTGGGTTCAATTCAGTAAAAAGTTTCTTACTTGATTGGGAATAGGCGATTCTGACCACAGAAGCGTTAGTCTTGGGCATATCTTATTATCTAAAGATGGCTACTATCAGTAGCCATTTTAAGTTTTCAAAGTCAGCGTGAAGTTTAGTTAACATTAAAAGGCATTCACGAGGATTGTAATATGCGGTTGCACAACGTTGATTCATTCATTGATTATTGATTGCTTAAATTTTCCGGACACGACAACTTTTCCAGGCTTGTTTTGACACTAGACTAGCGCTAGATGTAAGTTAATGCGTTATCATTTCATGGCTCAATTTATGCGTTTGTTGCAAAATGAACTGCAAATTAAGATTTTAGTTGAATACGAATAAAACATGAGTTTCGGAGTGAAAAGCGTGCAGTAGAGGCTTTATGACATCCCTGAGTAGTGTACCAGACGTGGGCATAAGTAGGTCACCGCAAAGTTACGGCATTTTAAATATGAGTCTTAAAATAATTGTTGTTCAAGGTGGGAGAACACACACAATCACAAAAAAAAACTAAAATAAACCGAAAAAGGATCCACTATGATTAACTTTTTCACGAATATGAGATTGAAGTAACTAGTGCTGCACATAGGGCAACAAAAGTAGAACCTACATGACTTTGAGCTTGCCTTACCTTTGTCATACTGGAGTCGTTGATTGCAATCCCAGGAGTCTGCGCTGGATTTGTCCCCTTGAATGTTACCATTTCAGTGGAGTGGTTCTGGCCATTCGTTTTGTCATACTCGTATCCTGAATTCACATTTCCATAATTGTTCCCTTGAAGAGTCCTCTCTTCTGAACCAGCAGTGCTAGTAGTATAGCGCGTCTGACTAGCAATTCCCGCGCGGCCTGGGTCCGAGTTTGAGTAATAATTTATTCATGCCATGTAGGTACACGTGTTAGGGTTATTAGATAATTATATTCATGACGTGTAGGTACACGAAGGTAAAAATTGATTATTTAATCAGCGAGTGTCCAGATCGGCCATCTTTGTTATCAGAGATAAAGGTCGGTTTGATTTATATATGGAACGGTAGCGTAAAATTCATCCATGTGGGATACCTATTTGTGTGATGCGCATGTGCAATCTTCTGATTAAAAATGTACGCATGCGCAATGCTTTAGAGCCAGTCCCTATGTGGTATGAATGTCACGAAATGTCCTATGGTTGGTACTTATGTGGTGTAAGACGTCACAAAATGTTACGTGTGACGTCATCTGCCCAGACTTGCCCACCCAAGCTAAATCCCAAGAGAGATGTTGTCTAAACTTGTCTAGGACTTGCTCAAGAGTTGTCTAGTATTGCTTAAGGCTGTCCGAATCTCTAGGGGTTAGGATTTATTAGTTAAATTGAAGTCGCTGTAAGTAGAAGGAGTCATAAACATGCCTGTTTTTCAATATCCCTACGATTTTACGTGTGCATGCAAAACATGTAAATCGTGTATCAAATATAAAGAAATTATGGAAGAAGCGGCATGGAATGTGAAGATTAGGAACATAAGAAAAGCGTATGTAGAGAAACGTATGGAAGAGATTACAAAAAGATTACGAAATTTAAGTCTAAAAGATTCAGCCCAAACTTGCCCAATCTCCCAAGAGGGACCTGTCAATCAAGATCATATATTTTCCTTATAAAAGTGGAGTCGTTGTAGCAGTCAAATCACATTTCTTACTCGCAGAGTGTAAAGCAAGCATCAAGAAAGCAAGATGGAAGATAACAAGACTAAGAAGACATCAAAGAGGGTTCACCCTTATGCGAAGAAAGAGACTTTGAAGAATAAGAAAGAATGGGCTAAGAACAAGTTGAAAGGTAGTCTCGTTATAGATGCACTGCCTATGAAGAACCCAGACTTTGTTGCTAAAGATGTGAAACTACCCAAGTTCGAGGTGGATTATATGAAACCAGAAGTCAAGTCATCTAAGCAAACATCTCCCCTGAAAGAGTTGAACCAGCTGGTGGAAAGTGTTCAGAATGACCCATCAACCCTGGAGAAGACTGAAGTAATGGAAGAAGGAGAAATCGTACTTGGCGTAGAAGGTACAGGTACGTTTCATTATTCTTCTCTGCAAGAATTGTTGGACAGTGTGGAAGTCAGTTATCCATGTCCGATTCACCAGACCATGATGGACGTATTGAAATCTAAAAAAGAAGATTGTGACGATGTATTCCTACGTTGCTCGTCCGCCCGTTGCCCAGTATTTTGTAATCTCAGTGATTACAACCGTTATTACTATGAATGTCAAAGACAGGGTCACCCCTGGTTCACCCTGGACAGAATCGACAAGATGGTGTGCGAATGTGGAATGACTCCCACATTGTCTTTGACTCAATCAGAAACAAATTATGGCAAAATGTATTTGCGATGCAGTCGACATAACTGTGATCTTTTTACCTGGTGGCGATTTAAACCCAACAAGAGGTCAGTGCAAATTCTTACGGATGGATGTGAATGATTCATTTCAGGATTAGATGTCAAGATGACATTTGCTGATTTATTAGAAGCCCTTTTTCCTTTACCTCAAAGAAAGTAATAAGAGTCAAATGTATTAATTTTTTAGGCATAGTGTTCATTCAAACTTTTCTTTCACCAGATGTAAAAATACACATGTTTTTTAGTTGTAATTCCAAGTTTTGTTAATTTTTTTGTAGATGGGATAAGTACAGACCATCTTGAAATCGCACGGTTGATGGGTAGAAACACAAAGCTAGATACATTGTCTATGGACGATCATGTTGAAATCGCTTGGTTGATCGGTATGCCTAAGTTTAGAAAATTAGCTAGACGCTTAGGATTGTCGGATAAAGACTTAGAATGTATTAATCATCATGTACAGTTTTTAGAAGATAATATGGATAAATAAATAAAAGTTGTATCACCGAAAACACTGTGTCATTTGTCTGTGTCAATCATGAGGCGTGTAAGACGGTCACTGATTAAAAGAAGAAAACGCAATCAACGTGGGGGTGCTTCTGTGAGTAGGGTTAAGAAAATTCTTCGTAGAGGTCCCTCTCTTACCGATAAATTAGCTTACGCAGCAAGTATGTTGTTATCGGGTCCTGCACCAGGTTTTGGAACACTTGGTAAACTTCTGGGAAAACAGGCTTTAAAAGGCATTATGGATAATGTCAAGCATTATAAAAAGGGTCGGCGATGAAAAAAAATCACCAGTTCATCATGCTTACCTCGTGGAGTCAATGGCTATGCTACTTGCATTATCGAGTGGTGTCGTGGCTTTGTGATCGCATCCCACATATCGTCTTCGAAGAGGATGAGCCGCATAAAATCCCTTACCATTGGGTTCCCGAAGACATGGAAGTTGAGGTGTTTAAATTTGTCGTGAAACCACACCTACATCCACTACACGACCGTATCTTTCATTTGATGACGTTTATGAGATACTATGATGGGAAGTATACATATAAGACGTGGAATCAATTGTATACGCAGTACCTTCATAAGTATTGGGTCACCTACCATTGTTTCAAACTTTGGTGTCATTTATCATGGTTAAGAACATTAAGAAAGATGTCAAGGACGACTTGTATGACGAACCCGGTGTCGTCGGTAGTTTGGGTGGTGTGGCACCGTATGCCAAAGCTCAAAAGATCTCTATTGCTCAAGGTAAAAAAGAATTAGAGAAAAAATTGGTGTACACGCTTCACAAACCCAGACGTCGACGAGGAGAATTTTTACCTGTGGTGGTGTTCGACATTGATCAACAATGGGTAGCAGATTTGATCGAAGTACAGACCCTATCCAAACAGAACAAGGGATACCGATACGTATTGGTCGTGATCGATGCCTTTTCCAAATACGCGTGGGCCCGGCCGATTAAAAAGAAAACAGGAAAAGATGTGACGGATGCGTTTGCAAAAATACTCAAGGAAGCCAAAGGAAGGAAACCTCAGACGTTACAGACAGATGCAGGCAAAGAATTTTACAATCAGACCTTTCAATCATTGATGAAAACACAGGAGATTCATCACTTTTCTACTCATGGAGATGCCAAAGCCAGTATCGTCGAACGATTTAATAGAACCCTTAAATCGAAATTGTATCGCTATTTCACGGCTGCCAACACACTCAAATATGTAGACATATTGCCCAAACTTGTCAATCAATACAATCGCACCTATCACAGGAGTATTAAAACCACACCAGCTAAAGTCACCACATTCAATGCCAAAGAAGTGTGGAACAATTTGTATGGGAAATATCAGACTAAGAAAGAAAAAAAGCCTGCATTTAAAGTAGGCGATAAAGTCCGATTGAATAAAAAATTTAGACCGTTTAAGAAAGGGTATCTACCAGGATGGACGGAAGAAGTGTTTCAAGTTCGTAAAGTCGTACCCGGAATGGTAACGACCTATAAAGTGCAAGAATTGGATGACACGCCCTTACAAGGCACATTTTATGTGTGGGATTTGCAAAAAGTACATGTAGATGAAGCGACTTATTTTCGAGTGGAAAAAGTATTAAAGAGACAAAAGGATAAATTGTTTGTCAAGTGGAAAGGGTACCCTAGCAAATATAACAGTTGGATTAATAAAAAAGATTTAAAGTGAATTGTGTGTTTGTGGTGATCGCATCATGAGAGGAGGAAGTTTGAGACGCTTTAAAGTGTATGTGCCAAATGAACAAGGAGGTGGTGGTCTCATGCGCTGGCAGACCCCCTCACCTTATGCCCCACCACCTTTTATCGGATCCTGGGGTGATCCTCAAATAGGTGCCGGAGTCAAAGACATGGCTAAAGATTTTTTGAAAGGTGTAACAGGAGGCCTTAAAAGCAGTGTCAAAAAGCGTTCGTTATCAGAAGTGCCGCGAGGTATAAAGAGAGGGGCTTCCCAAGCGCTCAAGAACGAATTGAAGAGAAAAGTTGCCAAGAGGTTGAACGATATTTTTGGAGAATAAAACATGGTCCGCATCAGCACCGTACGTCAAAGTGATCCTATCATTGGTGTAGGCACAACATCACCGACAGATCCTGTGTCTTCCATCTTAAAAAGGTATAAAGGGAGAAGAAGAAAACAACAGCAACGAGGAGGATTTCTCACAAGTCGTATAAAGAAAATAGGAACACGACAACGTGTGCATAAACGCAGAAGACGTTGAAACAGACACATCACCATGTCTATCAAAGGGGCAGAGCAGAATTCAAGTCTAGATCTCTTTAGAATACCACCTACAGATCTTTCTACGGTAAAGTACCGATATGTCAAAATACCACCTCAGACATCTAGTATTACTCCTATCCAAGTGTACGTGGAACGACAATCAGATCTCATCGATCTTTCGAGAAGTTTTGTCCAACTGGATTTGGGTTTCAAAACCACAGAAAATGCCAGTCTCACAGCACGCGCAAACAATGTGGGTGTGATGACTTCACCAGCCAACAATATTGCACACACCCTCTTCAAGCAAATCAATTTCAGAGCCAATGGTACCTTACTCACCGAACAAGTAGACATGTACCATCTTAAAGCTTTCATACAGACCATCCTTAATTATGACAGGAATGATGGAGAGACGATACTCGAACCAGCTGGATGGCGGAACGAAATTGATTCTCCTGTAACCTACACCGCTGCAAATGTCAAGATGGATGATGACGCGTATACAGCTCTTTCCATAAATCATCAAGAAAGCATCAAGAGACAGAGAGCAGATGCAACAGATTACTATGCAGGAGGAAAGAGGAGAATCTTGAGAATGAAACCGTTTATAGACGCGTTTCACCAAGGAAAATGGATCGTCCCCAAAACTCTTTTGGAATTGGAATTTTATCTGAATCCAGCAGCTTTA